GCACAGCTCATGAAAAAGAAGGGTAACAGCGACAGCACTGGGAGCTTTTGCTCGGGAAAGTGGGCAATGGCTTAATGAAACAGTTCTCATCACCCAACCAAATGAACTAATTTGCAGTCTTGCCTGATTTTCACTGGGTATTTACATGTCAGGGGGAGAATTACCTGAAATCTAATGCCTGTCCTAGAGAAAACATTCCTAAGGAGCCAGGCAGAGCTGGATCCATTTTTTGTTTTCTTTTGGTTTGTTTTTGGATGTATTTCTCTCAATATGTCAATTTCAGGAAAAGCTCCTTAATTTTGCTTGATCAAGTGGGGATCTTAGCTCTAATCCAGCTAATCAAAATGTATTACCGGAGACATAATAACTAAAACATGTTTGGAGAGAGAAAGGTGATTTAAACAAGGGTTTTCAGAGGAGCCCTTTAAGAGGGGAGAGTCACGGGGTCCCCACCTGTGTCCTCATTGGCTCCATTCAAGCTGAACTATCCGGAGTCTCTCCATACTAGGCATTGTACTTTTCCTGCAAGAGTTTTGGGGAAAATTGGTTTAGAGCCACTGATTCACCAGACGTGAAAGCAAGCGAAAGCTGGTGCTACAGACTGCCAGATCCACCAGCTTGGGGAATGGCCTGGCTGGCTCGCTGCTTCATTCCCAGGACCCATACGAGGCCTCACACATACCAGAGGCTGTAACCACTTGTTGAATGAAGGAATGTTAGGATGGATGAATGGAGGGAGGCAACAGTGAGACCTAAAAGTGGGCAGAGAGCTCCCATTTTGATTAAGCTCTGAAACATTTTCTCACATCCGATTGCAGACTAAATGCATGGTGAGTCAACAAAGGAGGCACAAAAATAATTTGCAAGAGCTAAAACAAAGTAGCTCAGAATGCTGGTGGTTTTAATGGAGACGTGCAAACCTTCACTGACAGGATCTAAGAACGAGATTCTATACCTAAACTGTGACATCTGTCAGTCACCGTTATCCCCCTGAATCTGATGTGGTTTTAGCTTGGTAAGTCTGGGCCACAGTCTCTGGGTCTTGATAAGACAGACTGGGCCTTTCTAGAAAGAATAGACTTCTGTCTCAGAATTATGAGGGGCAACTTACTCACTGAAATCCCCTAACATTCAAACAAGGAATACACACTGAAGTTATAGGAGACAGTTTCAAGGAAAATAAAAGTACATGGCCCAGTGGATAGTAAACTTAAGGATAAACTGGTATTTTGTCACTTGAATACCCCCAAGATAGAAATATGAACTCAGTCTACCACCGTGCCATCAAGAGAAGTAAAATGTGAGCCATATATGTAATTTTAAGTGTCTAGTAGCCACAATAAAAAACGTAAAACAATGAAGGTAATTTTGACAATATATGTTGTCGAACCTGATGTATACAAAATACTATCTTTTGACATGTGACACATTTTTCAAAATTATTCATAGGGTAATTTACATTCTCTCTTTCCTATTAAATCTTGAAATCCAGTTTGTAGTTTAGTTACAGCACATCACAGTTTGGGCTTACCATGTTTCAGGTGCTCAACAGCCACAGGTGGCTAATGGCCTCACCATGTCGGCACAGGTCTGGTGCTGACAGTCTGGTAAGACTGATGAATGGACATATTCACAATGAGCATCATCAAAAAAGCAGCAGGTCTGGAGTGTACCTCTTTGTGGGCTCCAGTTATTCCAGCCCACTCTTACTTCCTTTAGGTTCTTGTCACATTGTTTTAACACGGCTGTCACTCATAGAACCTATCACCAGACTCCAAGCGTGAGCACGACCCGGGCCTTTACGGTCATGACTTAGGCCACTGCAGCAGCCCAAGAAGAGAAAATGTGACCAAGCAGAGCCAATCAGAATCTGGCCCTAGGACTGGACTATAGAAGCCAGGGGAAAAGGCTTTCTCTTTCCCCTCTGGGTGTTAGGGTGTGATTTGGGGGCTTTTCCCATCATAGGGAGAGCCTGTCTTAGGATGGGGCCTTGATGCAGCAAAGGAAAACCCTAGTCCATTTGTTGGCCCTGGTATGATCTTCCCTCCATGGATTCTGCACCTACTCTGTATCCTCCCGGCACGTTCTCTCGTTTGCTTAGGCTAATTTGAAGTGTGTTTCATCCACTCTCATTAGACAGAGTCATGATTTGGCCCAAGCCACAGGTCTGGCCAGTTGCCACGATCTCCCACAACATGCCTCGGTGCTGTCTCTGAGACAACATACCAGGCCACAGAGGGCCCACCGGCCACCCTCAAATGGCAGGGCTTACAGCTTTTAAATTTCTTCAGTGCTGTGTTAGTTCTTGTTCCCTCCCCGGGTCACCACTTGCCTTGCAGACCTTGGCCCTTACACCTCCATCTGGTGGACAGATGTGCCAGAAAGGTGAGCTGCTCCACCTTGCTGCTAGAGCCTGTGGTTCCCCCTTGTCCTCCCCACGTGTCTGCTGTCTTATTTTATTTCCCCTTTCATGCATCCTGCCTTGAGAAGCAGAATGGTACCACGAGTTTGTCTTGGCACTACAGGGTCTCACTGGCCTCCTTCTGAAATGTATGAAAGACCTATTCTGAAGCACTGACCTTTTAGAAGCAAGTGAACACAAAAGGACACTGTTCCTGGCCTGAGGTTATAAACGCAAAAATGACAACCACGTCCTCTGCATTTGCATGGGATCCATACTGATATCCCCAGCATGACTGCAAATACATTCACCCAGGACATAGCTACCAACGGCCCTGGTGAGCAACCCCTTGGAGGACTGTGGAGATAAAACCCAACCTGTCCTACACTCCATCATAGAGGATTGACTGACTGAGAGAGAATTCTGAGAAATGTCCATTTAAATTTACATATTATGCTATTTTTTGAGAAACAAATTGAAGATTCGTCACTAAGTGAAGTAGTTATCACTTCTGCCTCTAGCTTCAGTCTTGGTCTCGCCTGAGCAAGTTCCAGACAGATGCTGACAGCGTTCCCTTCAGGTGCCTGTGATCAATATATTCCCACAACAACACTTTACTGACTGTAGTTCTAATGGAGAGTCTTATGAAATCTGAAGGAGTCCCCTTGAAAGTCTATGGGGAAGTAGACAGGCCTTCTTTACCTCGAAGGAGTTTACAAGATAGGTAATTAAAATTCACAGTTCCAATTATTCTTGCTCCTCTCAGGAAGTTCAGCACGCTAATTAATGCTTCAGTGTGCTTAATGTTTTAAGTGATCTGGAAAAATGATGAGCGAAATTCATATGGAGACTTTAGCAGGCTTTTTTTTTCTTCCCACTGAACTAACTCCCTTGTCAGGGAACTAGTGCGAACCGACCAGGTCTGATGCTTCTGGAGACTGCAGGTCGTAGAGGTTTGCTCTTTTATTTTGCACATTCTCTTCCTTCAGCTGTGAAGAGTGAGGTGCTCACAAGCAGGGAGCAGCCCCGCCCATCTCTCTGCAGCTACACCAGTTTGGGTGCCTTCCCCAAACTGCCCCATCACACATTCCCTTCTTCCCTACCTCAGCAAGAGGACAGGTTTGTGGGTCTGAACGGGTCACCCTGAGTCTGCTGAAGATGTAAACATCTGTCAAATTAGGACCAGCTCTAAGACTGGTAGGTTGAGTCCCACGGGGAAAATTCTTACCTCAAAATGGCCACGGTATCCATCCCTGGAGTTTCCAAAAACTTTTTTTTCAATGGTTATTTATTTTTAAGAGAGCACAAGTGGGGGAGGGGAAGTGAGAGGGGGGCAGAGGATCTGAAACAGGCTTTGGGCTCCCAGCAGTGAGCCCAATGTGGGGCTTGAACTCACAACTGCAAGATCATGACCTGAGCTGAAGTTGGATGCTCAACCGACTGAGCCATCCAGGCGCCCCTCCAAAAACTCTTACTTACTAAGGAATCCAAGTCAAGTTATCTACCCCACCCAAGCCTCAGTGCCTTATCTTCAGAATGGGAGCACAACAACACCTACCTAGCCAGCACCACCTGAGGTAATGCAGGACTCTCTGAGCCTCCTCCCCCAGAGCCTACCTGTAGCAGGACATCACTTTCTTTTCTTCTCCTTCACTGAGGATCACCTTTGAGTGTATTCCCACCTCCCCTCATGTATTTATTTATTATTTTATTTTTTAAGAGAGAGAGTGAAAGCACAAGTAAGGGAGAAGGGCAGAGGGAGACACAGAAAGAATACCAAACAGGCTCCACGCTCAGCACAGAGCCTGACATAGGGCTTGATCCCATGACCCTGAGATCATGACCTGAGCCAAAATCAAGAGTCGGACGCTCAACAGACTAAGCCAAGTAGGCACCCCCTTCCCTTCATATACATTAAAATACTTAGTCATTCAAAAACATGGAGGACCCAGAAAAGAAAGAAAGAAAGTAAGTAAGTAAGTAAATAAATAAATAATAAACAAACAAACAAATAAATAAATGCCTTTAAAATCTTCCATGGACTCATGACCCAAGGCAACCACCACTAACATTTTGCATTTCCTTTCCTAAGTACAGGTGCATTTTATGTAGTTGAGATCATGCTATAGACACAACTTTGATCCTTCTTCCACTTAACATTATACGCATTTTCCTGTGTTACTCTGTATAGTCTCCAGAAATAATACTTTCAATAGTTGTAGACTATTCCAGCCAGTGACTGCTCAAGGTTTATTCAACCACACCAAGCTTTTCAGATATCACTGTGTCCAACTTTTTGCCAATACAAACAGCACTGTGGTTAGCATTCCCTTAGGAGAGGTCCCGGAGGTAGAATTCTGGGGCTCTGAGCATAAAGATGTCAAGGGCTCTTGACACATGCTGCAGTTGGCTTTCCTTATACACACCGCCACAAGCAATGCCGTGGAAAGCACGCTTCACATCTCTAGGAATTACCACTTAAGATTTTTTTTAATAACTTGATTGATGAAAAATGATCTTATTTACACTTCCTCAACTTCTCAAGAGACCAACCATTTTCGTGTTAACCATATGTCATTCCTCTTTTGTGCCTTCACAGGAAGGAAGGCTCTCTCTGCCAGAGTGGGGCAATGGATCCCAACCTTCAGCATGCTGAAGAACTGGTGGGAAAGTTCAGCGGAGGATGGGGATCTACCTTTTTAACTAATTCTAATGCAAGTGATTCTTGGGGCAGAATTGGAGAAATTCTGGGTAAGAGTGTTAGTTATAAGACCTGTTTCTAGAGTTTTCCTTACATTGAAGATTTCATTCTTTTCAGCAAATATCCTCTCCAGTGAACAATCCTCACATTTGGATTACCTTTTTTTTCTTTTATTTTTTTTTAACATTTATTTATTTTTGAGACAGAGAGAGACAGAGCATGAACAGGGGAGGGTCAGAGACAGAAGGACACGCAGAATCTGAAACAGGCTCCAGGCTCTGAGCTGTCAGCACAGAGCCTGACGCGGGGTTCGAACTCATGGATCGCGAGATCATGACCTGAGCCGAAGTCAGATGTTCAACCGACTGAGCCACCCAGGCGCCCCTGGATTGCCTTTTTATGAAGCACAGGAACTTAAGTCAAATCTGCCAATATTTTCTTTTGCAACTTCTTTTCATTCTTCTACAGAAAATTTTTTACTTAAGGGTAAAGCTTTACAAATGTTGCTTTTTTAACTTTCTCCTTCTTTAAAAACAAAAATCACTGCTAAATCTATCTGGAATTTAAGTTGGCTATCTGGCATAAAGTAAAGATGTAAAATTTTAGATTTTGTTTTTCAAAATGACTAACCACCTTCCACCAACCATTACAATGCAATTTCTCCCTCTGTCACCAACTCTTGCTGCCTCTTTTAGCTTACATCAAATACTTACAGATGGTGGGGCCTCTGATGGACAGAACCTTGCCATGTCCTCTCTCCAGTTTTTCAAAACCTTTTCCTCACAAACTTTAGCCTTGAGAAAACTCCTGGTCCCTGAAACCTTCCACAGTGTGGCTTTAGGCAAAGTTAAGAATTCAACAGTTTTAATTTCTTCCTACAGATGACTAGGAAAAGCATTATAGCTTTTTGTAAATACGATAAATTCATGTTTATAGGAATTTTACAATAATGTTGTGACTCAAATATCGTCGAGGCAGAAATTTTAAAGCTGAAGAGACTCTAAGGAACAGTTACCTCTAGTTCAGTCCTGTGAAGAAACAAACTGAAACAGAGAGTCCTAAAACCGGGTGCCCAAATTCCTGCAGCTAATGGGCAACAGGGCTAGAATTCATGGTGTGTATCTGCTGGAAACTCCAAAGTGCTTTGGCCACCATCCTCTCTAGGATTTATTGGTGGTCATAATTAAGCAGGGAGGTGACAGTTGACTTAAAGACCCCATTTAGGGTCTGTTAAATACGTTCGTTCTTACACCCAACGACCATCCAAACCAGAGAAAGGAAGCTGACTTTAGGCCGATGTGCCACATAGGCTAAAATAAATACTTCCAGAGGATTGTTTGGAAGAAGTGCATCTTGCTCATGGAACAGCACTTAGGGGAGAAAATGGACTATCTTTCTCTCCCACTGAGTCTCTAAACTCAGGTTACACCTAGATTCAAACGTAAGGGGAATCCCATACTCCTGAGACTGACGTGCGGACGATGTTGTCAGTGACCCGCCACAGCGGGCCCCGGGTACTGACGTGTGCCAGTCACACACTGGCTATACCTCAGTGCAGGAGACTGGGGGCTCATGGTGAAGCGTCTCAAAGCAGAGAGCAGGTGTCAGGGCAATTCAGGACAAACAACAACAACAAGCCTTTCTCCCAAATAGAATTATTTTTGCCAGTCTGAAGTTAAATAGAAAGCCTTGTTGGACATATGGGAAAGTTTCTTGACAACGTAAATGTCAAATCTAAAATAATTTCCAGCTCTAGATTTATGTATTCTCCGACTAGAGGGAAATGTGCTCTTTAGGTATCTCCAGCCCTAGGTTTTCTGGTCATGCAGGTAATGCTCTTAAACACCCACACATTTAAGCAAAAGATTGTTTTTTCCACCTTGTGATGGCATGTGTCTATTCCCATCATTCAGTGGGATGCTTCTGAGAAAGAGTGTATGCTTTAGTGTGGAGGTGACCATTTTAAGGTGGCCTGGCTTAGCTCTATGCCAAATTGTGCAGGACATTTGAGGCTCTGTGAATTCTCTCTTGACTATCCATCTCTTCCTTCTTTAAATCCTTTATGAGTGAGCCCAGAGTGGCAAAACTCAAGCTCTGATCCAGATCTTGACCTGCCCCTGTACCTATAAGAACTTTTCAGGGCATCACCCTCCCAAGTATGATGCAGGTATTTCTTCTAGAACATTATAAAACCCTCAAAAATTGCACCCTAAAAATCACAGCTTATGAAAAAAACAGGGATGGAACAGACCACCAAGAACCCATGGAACTTTGTAATCAAGATTCTCGCAAAACCTGTAACAACCCTCCTAAAATCATGAACATGGCTGAATCTTCCCTGGCCTAGCCACACACCCTGGCATCAGTGCCACACAGCCTCCTTCCCTGGGCTTGCGCTTCCTCCTTGCAGAGAAAAGTCCTTGAAGACATTCACTTCTAAAAGAGACTAGATCCATCAAACTTAAACATATGTGCCAGGGACCCCCTTCTTCATTAATTCTTTGTTTTCTTCTCTCAAGCACAGGAAGGCCTGTCTTCACAGTGTCTTTATCTGCACTTGTCACTCCCCAAACACAGCAGGAACTGAAGTGGTTCTTGAAATCACTAAATCAGCCACTTTTTGCACCAAAAGGAGGCACTTCTACACTATTTTTGGCTTCTTTCTGAAGGTCTTCATATCCTGCTGAGGCTTTCTGGTTCCTTGTGAGATCAATGTTAATATGTCAGGGAAAGTCTCACTCCGTTCCAGCCAATGCAACCCATGCATCCCACAGACATCACACCTTGCTGAGGAGCTGACCGTCAGCTCACTGGATTTTTAAATTTTTGTCTTCTTGTGATTGACTGATTGGCAAAATATGTATAACATAAGGCTGACTGTTTTAACCATCCTTAAGTGGAGAGTTCAGTGGTACTAAATATTTTACTGCAATTAAAAAAAAGGGGGGGTTTTCTAAAAACCTATTTAACCAAAAGATAAAATAACAAGATCAGAAGATAATCAGAAATTACTTTTACCACCACCCTCCTCCTTGTTTTTCCACTTGTCTTTTCTTGAGGTATCACTATGGATAGCAAGCCAGCAGTGGCAGCCATATCTGCAACAGCTTAGGCCAAATTCTAGGGAAGAGCATAATGATCATCATTACTTCTTGGACAGCAAAGGTCTGAAGGGTTCTGAGACAAAAGCATGTACAGCAAATGTTTATTTTTCTTTCCAAGTTTATGTTTTGGGAGGAAATAAGAGAGAAACTAAATTCCTCAACAGCATGCACGTGGAACCTTCTAGAGTCAATGCAGACATAAGGTGGATGTCTGATGGCCCACGTCCAAATCGTGCCAATATGTGACCTTGGGCCTCAATTTGCAAGCTATAAAGCGAGGATAATGTGAAAAGTAGTCGGGTTAATATAATTACAGCATTCCTAACAGGGTAAGGCACATAAAAGTCCTCACTAAATGTTAGTTACTATTATTGAAAGGCCAAGATCACCAACTGAAATATTTCAGGTGGAGAGCCTACTAATAAAACATTTTTATTTTGTGTGGTTGAACTTCAAAATGGCTTATTCTTAGAATTCATAAAAAATACCTTAAATAACTTAAGGACATGAATAATTGTTCTTTCAGCGACAAAAATACTCTTTTTTAGCTTAAAAAAATGCTCATTGTTATTCTTGGTAGTCAATGGCACAAGGGCTGTTATTAGAATGGAAAAAAAATCTTTTGACAGCTTTGACTTAACTCCTACGCTCAGAGGATGTCATTTAATGTAAAAGCGCAAACACACACAAAGGCAAGAGAAGAAATGCCTGCTTAAAACCATCCCCTCTTCAAAACTTGCAGATGTCTTTCAAAAACCCTACATAATGTTTTTAGAGTTTATTTATAAACTTAGATACTTTAAACACATTTTGTGTAGAACTTACTGTTTTAAACTCTGAAAACTTTTTTTTTTCTTGAATTCTAGAAAAGTGAAGGTTTCCAGTGTCTCCTTTGACTATCAGTGATGTTAAACACACAATAAAAACACAAACAATAAACTAGGGGGTAGGGGGACCGCCTTTAGAAGGACCCCAGGGGCCTGTCAGGACCACAGGGATGGGCACCACGGTCTGGCACAAACACCACCAAGCCATCTGTCTGTGGCCTCCATTGGCCTCAGGCCAGACGCCGTGCCCTGGGTAGGAAGGTCATGACATCGATCTTCCAGGGGTGTTGAGAAACTGACTGAAGAAGGAGATTACCACAGAAATTTCAGAGCCATGTGGAAGACTCCATTCCTGGCCAGAAAATCCTCTGCCATGTCAAGGCTAAGAGCAGAGGTGAGACGAAGAAGGCAGACGAGAATCTTCCACTGTCAAGGAGTCCTCAGATGATGAAGACAGTCAGTCACTACCAAAAATGGACTAAAAACCAGGCTGGGGCTTCCCTGACCAATAAAACAGTATGTCCCTCAGGGAAGTAGTTCACTAACGTGAAGTCCAAGTTGAAGGAAGGCAGTCGGAAGCTCCCTGCACACAAACGCTACGGTGTCTATGAGCCTCATGACCAAATGCACAGCTGATCTCAGATGGTCACGGGTGGGCCCTGCCGGTGACCACCAGAGCACTCTCAGTGCCCACTACCTGACTGGGAGCTAAACCGCCTGAGTAGCTCCCAGGCTAATGGGCGCTGGCCCTCTTGTTTACTCTCGGACAGCACTATGTTGGTACTATGGTACTAAGCCTACAAACAAACAACGTATGTAAAAGCAGAACTCTGACCCACAACCTGCAGCAACCTGGCCAGGAGACCAAGCATTTATCTACAGCAACCAGCCCGGGTAGCCAGCCTGCTATCTCTACATCATGCTTGTAAACAGTCAGGCCACTGCCTCTAGCAATAATCCAAAATGCCAACCAATAACTTCTGCAGTGATCAGCTACAAATGGCCAGGACTTGATTAAAAATTGAGAACTTCCCTAATTTCCAACACCTCCCACTTACAACTGAGGAACTACTAGAGAAAGCCAAACATGCACCTTTAAACGATCACAGATGCCCACCTTCCTGAGCCCACCTCCAGCTTCCCCACGCCAATGGCCTCCCATCAGGGCACACCAGGAACCTTCTCTGCTCCCACGTACAGCTCTCTCCCTCCTCTGCCTGCCTCTGAGTCTCTGCCGAAATGCAAGAGATGGTGGCTGACTCCCTTGCTATATAGTCAGTTCTGCATAAATAGCCTTTGCTGGTTCTCTTCTGGCTGGTCTCCATTTATTTCCTCAGCCCTGCGTTGCTCAGGCCTCCCTTATCCTTGCCTCTCTATCTCCTTCCCAAACCAAAGTAGCATGAAGAAAATGAATTTCAATGAGAGAGTCAACCATTGCTCTGGGAAAAGGTAGACCTACATAGGACCAATATGTATAATCATGAAACATTCTTCTTATGTTCAATTGGCGTAAGTGACTTATCTGGATAGCATCAAGAGTGAATACTCACTGATCCAGAACTGGAACAACAGAAAGTTCCCCTACACTCATCAAATATGATAAATCAATAGAAAGGCAATATGTTATTAAGGATTTGTTGCAAAATGCACCCTTGGACCTATGCATGTCAGCCTTGTACCCTAAATCTTCTATACCCGTAGAGCCAATGGGAATCATGTGGAAACCAGTTCATAATCATGGGCTCCTCAGCATTGCTTGAGACTGAATAAGCAATGAAAGGTGAATTTTCCAGTAGAGTTTATGTATTATTTCTTCTAATTCTCTGGAAATTGGTGCTCTGAGTACGAAATACATGGTTAAAGAGAATCATCAAAATGCTCATTGATGTGAGCCCCTGGTCTCCAAATATCCTGGGTAAAAGTCTTCAGGGCCCTTTCAAGCACCAAACTCCATCCCCCTCCACTGGCATGGGATCCTTAGCGACAGCCCCGCACACTGGGGCTGGAATTCCTTAGTTCTGGCTTGGGATCTCACACACCATCTTCCCATCTTCCAACCCATCTGAACAATTCATTGATAGGTAAGGTGAAGGAAGTCCTGTGTAGGGTTCCCGTGTGCACGAGTCCTTTACAAGCCTCACCCACTCTCCTTTATAAAGGGATCCTTCAGTCACCTTCAAAAATATCATCTACTTTCTTAAAGGAAATGGAAACTTTTTTTTTTAATCAAAAAGAAGTGAAAGTTCATACTGGAGTCTGGAAAGCATTTGAATTTATTTTTCTTCTTTTGCTCAGCAGAAATGTTAAAAAATAACAGAAAACATGGGCCACGGCCCTTTCAACAATTCACATATAGAATTCAGCATACAGAATAAAATATTCCCAACATTCTGGAAACATTAACTTTTACCTGAGATTGCCAAAACATCTGCCCATAATGAAGGTACTGATTGCCTATTTATCTGGATGTGTACTCCCTACCCAACCCCCCCAACCCTCAAAACTAAATCACTGTTTGCCTGTAACCTGATTTGAATGTGTGTGTGTGTGTGTGTGTGTGTGTGTGTGAGAGAGAGAGAGAGAGAGAGAGAGAGAGAGAGAGAGAGAAATAGCAGGGAGTCTTTACAGCCAACGATTAAAGCTGGAGCAAAACAGAGACTTTGGACTTTGATCAGAAAATGGATTAAATTCCCAGATGAGGCTGATCAGACACAGAAATGCCAGGAGACGCCAGCATTCTCTACTTCTTTCAGGAACAGCTTGGGACAGAGCCCTTTCATTAGGACTGTACTCTTCTGTAAAAGAATCCAGCAACAATTTGTAAAAATTGGCTGCTTATTCATGTACAGGGTGGCTCTTCTAAAAGAAGGAGTACTGGTGAGGCCACCTGGAGCTTCCTGGTCCTGCCCATGTCCCCTGTGGGCTGTGCTGACCTAGTTCCCTCATTCCTTAAATGTGTCCCAGAGAGAGGACATGAGTTTCTCTGGGTCAGTGGTGTGCCCAGTGCCCAGTTATATGGCCTGTTTGTCAAACTGGTGCAGGGTCTGAGATGTTACCCGCTTGCACAGTTATATACTTTATATATGTGAATGTTGCATAAACACAAGACAGCTCTTTCCTGACACTCATGTCTAGACCAATACCTAGTGATGCTACAGCATCAGCCCCCACACCTTGACCCCAGGCAAGGTGATGAGAGACTATGGGGACATTCTGCATAGGTACAGATTACATGCCAGAGATGAGGGATGGAATACAAAAGGATTTCTCTGCTTACACACGGGAAAGAAGTAACTGCCCCTCTCTCTGTCAAGAAAGGAGGAAGAGAAACCTTTGCTCCTTGGAGATGAGATGGAAAGGGCCCTGGATTCTTACCTTGACCTTTTTGGATATGAAATCACTCGAGGGGTCAGAGAGTCCCATGTGTCTGGGCTTCTATAACCCAGAGATGTCTCCAAGGTCTGGGATTTATCCCTTTGGACAGTAAATACTTAGGGAGACAGCACTCTAGTCTTTCTGGCACCTGGGGCTTAACTGTGTGTGTGTCTTTCTGCAGGATCACTCTGGCTATGGAACGTTCCAACCCTTAGTCAATGGACACAGCAGCCCATCCTGGCCATTCCCCTACCCAGTCCTCCAGCAAGATCCCAGCCACACAGATAGGGATCTGTTTGCTTTCTTTCTCTTAACTTTTAACACTTTCTCCACAATTTTCTTAGGTACAATTGGCATGAACATAAATGTTCACTGAAGAAAACTTAATAGTGACAACTAATAGGTACTGCCTACTTACTGAATATCAGGTGCAATCCTAGATGATATACCATCTCAGGGAATCCTCAGATCAACACCATGAAGCTGGCAGTATCACACCGCTATTTGACAGGGGAAGAAATGGAGGCACCATGTTCCAGCAACTTTCCAAAGCTGCAGAGCTGGACGAAGTAGAGCAGGGGCCTGACCCCAAGCCCCTGAATTGTAACAGATAGCTTAGTCCTTCCATTTATCCATTTTTGTAACTAAAATGGAATCAGGCTGTCATTTGTCACGTGTTCTTTTCACTTATCACATGTGACCTTCTTTGATGGACATGGTTGACAGTGTTCTGTGCCCCACCACTATGGGACATGTGCTTTCACAGGCATCCAATGTTCTCTGAGATATCATATCTGGGATGCCAGATTCTAAACCCCAAAGCCTTAGGAACATCAGGCTGTAGCAGCTTAAGATGAGAAGACAGCAAGGTGTGTGGGTTGGTTAAGAGTCTGACTCTTGATTTCGCCTCATGTCATGATCTCACGGTTAGTGAGATCAAGCCCCGTGTAGGGCTCTGCACTGACGGCATAGAGCCTGCTTGCGATTCTCTCTCCCCCTTCCCTGCTTATTCTCTCTCTCTCTCTCTCTCTCTCAAAACAAATAAACATTTAAAAAAAAAAAGGACAAGAAGAGAGGCCATCGAGAGAAGGTTGTCTGGGGTATGAAGCAGCCACCAGCAGGAAGCATTAGAAGGTTTTGAGGACCCAGGGCCTCTGAACACAAGAATTAGCCCTTGGTCGAGAAGAGAACTTTAATACACTGGAATATCTCAAGAACATAAAAGCAACTGAATGATGCAACTTTTTAAAAGTTGGTCTTGGTTCAAATGACAGAGGCTTCCTGTCCTTTGGTTCAGTTCAATGAACGCTGATGGAGGATGTCTCTTATACAGCAGCTCTTAAAAGACAAAACAAACAAGATTTGATCTCCACTCCCGGGAACCTGACAAGTGGGGAGTAAGCCGCAGAAGCTGGTAACTTTGAAACTTTAAGGTGCTGCCGTGAGAACACAAGACATTATATGGGACCCCAGAGGGCAGACATCAGGCTCTTAGAAACCAGAGCTGAGTCTTAAAGCGTGAACCAGAGTCAGCAGGTGAGGAGGACAGAGTGTTCCAGACAGAAGTAACAGCATGGGTAAAGAGCCAGGATATACTCCCAGGATATAGATGAAACCAGTTTTCATTAATATACTCTATAGCTACCAAGCATGACTTTTTAATCAATCCTTAATTTGGCCCCAAAGCAAAAAAGTGGTAAGTATATATTCCTTTAACTACTGTTCAAAGATTGTTTACAGTCAAGCACAAACATTCTTTTTTTTTTTTTTTAATATATTTTTTTCAATGTTTATTCATTTTTGGGACAGAGAGAGACAGAGCATGAACGGGGGAGGGGCAGAGAGAGAGGGAGACACAGAATCGGAAACAGGCTCCAGGCTCTGAGCCATCAGCCCAGAGCCCGACGCGGGGCTCGAACTCACGGACCGCGAGATCGTGACCTGGCTGGAGTCGGACGCTTAACCGACTGCACCACCCAGGCGCCCCTCAAGCACAAACATTCTTAAAGGATATAAAACAAAAGTTCTAGACACACTTGGTGTCGATCTTGGATAAAAGGAAATGGAAGGAGATCTCTGTTATTGGAAGGACCATAAAAATAATCTGCATTAAACCACAAAAACAAATCTAAAACTTAATTTTTTTTTTTGCATATTAAAAAATAACATCTCCAAAGCAGTGGATAGAGGCATCCCTTGCATTTCTCAGGCACTAACTATTTTTAGAATGTGTTCACCCTTGGGGTGCCTGGGTGGCTCAGTTGGTTCATGGGTTCATGGTTTCAAGCCCCGCATGGGACTGTGCTGACAGCTCAGAGCCTGGAGCCTGCTTCAGATTCTGTCTCTCTCTCTCTCTGCCCCTCCTCTACTTATGCTCTTTCTCTCTCTCTCTCAAAAATAAATAAATATTAAAAAAAAAAAAGAATGTGTTCACCATCAATTGATTCATTTGATCACCACACAAATGCTTTTTGGAAGATGGGCCTCATATTCTCAACTTCTCAGAAATGAAGTACTCCCCCATGGCTACAAGGGGCTAGAGCAGGGGTCTCCTGGCCCTGCACTGGTCTGTCCATCTCAACCCACTAACTATGCAAATTCATCTTCAAGGCAAAGAAGTGAAATCAGTGCATACAACCATGAAAAGCAAATTTTAAATGTTTACCGTTACAACTTATGGGAATCATAATAATAAGGTAAGCCAATGGTGGCATTCTGGGGACTTGAAATATACTGTATATTTGTCTTTTATTTCACTACAATCCTGTTCCTATTTGTAAAATGGTCAGCACCTGCATGGAAAGACAGGTAAAGTGAGGCATGGGATAGGGTGGATGATGACCTTGTGCCAGGAGGCTGAAGACCTATTTCTGTGCTGGGCTCTGCCATCACCAAACCCCAGCCTCAGTTTCCCCTTCTGTAAAATGATGGTCCTGGTGGCCTGACCTCTGAGCTCTCTTTCAGCTCCACAACCCCGACTCTCCTCTTGGGGAGACTGCCATAAGATTCAAAGCTGGGGATAAGACTGTTCTAGCAGATTAGAAGCTAACCCCACAGATTTCCCAGAAGTTTCCTGATAGTTACGGAAAGAGGAAATTGCGAAAGCAAAATGCAATTTGTTTATCTTAAGGCTGGAAACCTGTGGTTAGGTATAATATAGAGAATAGGACATTGGGGTAAATATGGCATTTTACAGCCTAACTTTTAGACAGAATATAAAATAGATCCAGTATGGGCCCCAAGGTATTGGAATCAATTATCTCCTCTGCCTGAATTCAGGTGAATTCATGCTTCTACTTTGGGTGGAAAGAATCTCCTTGGGATACGAGGTTTGCCCTAGAACACTAATAACTTCTGGAAGGATGAGGGGGGCCTAGCCAAATGACTCAGGTGTCTGTGAGCATCATAATTTACTAGAATTAGCAATACAAGTGCTGCCACCAGTTAAGCTATACTAAAATGCTCAAAGGTACTGTTGTTTTTAATTGGAAAATTAAAAATCTGAAAAATCTGCCCCAGAACTAAGAGGAATACCACATTTCAGAATTTACAGACCTCACCTCATATTCTTTCTAAAGTTCTTCCATAGTTCCAACCCCACTTTCCCCCATCTGAGAAAGATGGAAAGAACTATTCCTCCCAAACCCCATACCTCTCTTTCTTCTGACACTGCTCTTGTGGCCTGGGGACGTGACTTCATGTTAGGAGCAAAAGGCAACACCGAAGAACCAGAGAAATGTTGAAACCGAGACACCAAAATTCTGCATATGTGGAATGGATGAAGGAGGAAATTGACCTGTACAACCTACCTGTGTGATCAGAACTCAAGTGCCCCTTCAATAAGAGTTAACTCCTACTCATATAAATTCACGGCCAGACATGAAAAGAAGCAATCCCAACCCCTCCATCCCCTGTCGTCATCATCCAAGGCACAAATTTAACTCTCCATAACTGAAAAACCATCCTAAATCAGTTTGTTTTAGAACTCTCTGAAATAATACGCAGCCCAGAATAAATCAGATGGATGTTATGAAAGGATTCTGGTGACAAAAGAAACATTTATCACATCAGCATAATAACACTCATTGCGAGAAGGTCCTGGATGGCTAATCCTGCCTCTTTGGTGTGGGTGTGGTACAAACAGGGACTAGAATGAATCCGATTTCATGTGTGTGCCCACGTATGCCAATCATGGGATAGACTGAATGACCTTACTGATGTTCATTTGGGCTTCTGCTTCTGATTCTATCAGTGGTGGGAGCAGCAAGACAGAGACCCAAGTGATCTGACAGGGCTCCTCGAGGGGGCTCCACCCCCAAGACGAGCCCAACACCTGGGCCCACAGCCACCCAAAGCTGGCAGAGGGAGGGGAGCCGCTTCACAGGTGCCCCCGCCAGGAGTTAAACCCTGTTATTCAAAACTCTTCAATACCTTGGGGGTGTCCGGGTGGCTCAGTTAAGCAGCTGACTCTAGATTTGGGCTCAGGTCAGGATCTCACAGTTCAAGAGTTCAAGCCCCAGATTGGGCTCTGTGCTAACAGCGTGGAGCCTGCCTCCGATACTCCCTCTCTCTGCCCCTTCCCCACTCGTTCTCTCTCACTCTCTCTCTCTTTCAAAAATAAATAAATGTTAAAAATTAAAAAAAAAAAAAAACTCTTCAATACCTTGCCTGCATGTATTTTCCTTCACATTCACTGAGTGCTGAGGTTCACACTTCCATGTGGAGGGGAAGCATGTGGGAAAACACACTCTGGGTGAACCCTGGGTGATTTGGGGGAGGCTTCTCCACCAACCAGTCAGCTGCTGGTTCTCTAGGCCCCGGGGTTGATGAGACTCAGGTGAAATGATGTTTCACAAAAGTGCTAGCTGGCCCTGACCTTTTCATGCTGACTTCTCTGTTGCTCTCAGCTAAAGAAAGACATACCTGACTCCAGAGAAAATGAGGAAAGACACAAGGAGTGTCCTGATTTAACAGTACTTATTACAGCTAAAGAAATAATTTTGAAAAGCAGGTTAGCTACTAAAAGATGGCAAAGAACAGAATAACGATTTTGCCCTAAAAACGCTTTTCCTGCCAGCTTTCCTTCTTTATGGCCTTTGACACGCAGTCTCCTCTTCCTGAGGGCCGGGTTGAACTCGGACAACAAATCGGAGTTGTTGTCAAACCACAGGGTGAACCCAGCCACCGCACAACAACCTCACGCTCAGGACAGCCGCGTAAGCTACAGAAGTCATGTTCAAGATGCTCGCTTTGTTTTAGACACATCCTATCTTCTTAGAAGTGGCATTTCAGAAAAAGTAAACAAAAACTGGACGTTCTATTTTTGGTCCTTCTTTAAAGGGCTACATTCAAGTGCTTGCTCTGAATGGCCCCAAGCACATCACTTAACATCTCTGTGCCTTGGTATCATAGTTGTAAAATGGGAATAAAATAGTGCTCCCTCCAGAGACGGTTGTCGAATCAAAGGAGCTAATGTGTGGGACGGTGACAGTTGGGTGTAGCCCCTCCCTAACCCCTAGGCCTAATGATAGTTTATGCTGCCTAATTTATTATGGAAAAAATGACAATGAGATGCCCATGGGGTGGCAGTGACAAAGCTTTGGGATACAAAATGTGCAGGGGGAAGCTCCTACTGTTGACCCTGCGCCCCCATGCATGAGAAGCACTATCAGAAGTTGTTCAAGGGGCATCTCATTCTTCATCACAGACACCAGTGAGCTTTGTGCTTTTATTCTGCTTATCTGGAAGGAAGTTGGATGTCAGTGCCCACAAGAGTGAGTGGGTTCCAGAAGTCAAAGTGGACAGTCTGTGTCCAGCCTTGTGTTTGTTTCTCCCTGTTCCAGGCTGCCCCAGGACGCTGGCTTCCTTATCTTATTGTGCTCATGTCAGAGAGCGGGCTGCACAGCACACAGGGAGAGATAAGACAATGGTTGGGGGGAAGCCGGC